AATTGAAAAGGTGTGGTTGGAGTCAAATTCGAATTCTGTTTTTCACCTCAATTCAAGTATTTTCTTTGATCCTAATACCTCTACCAACCATTGTTGAATGTTTCTACACAATTTCCCAAGAAAATCCGTGCTCCATTGAAGCTCTAGAAACCAATTTTCAAAGGTATAAAACTTTCAAATAATATCATGATTCATGAGTCTTTATGTTGCCATTGTTGCATCTTTATAATCCCCATAAGGTATAGATCGTTTCTGGTATCAATTGGAAGACTTTGGTGGAAATTTCGTGTTCTTGGGGTTTTCATGGTGACTGCGGTTTTTGAGCTAGAGAGGTTATCAACAAAAAACAATTGGAGATTTGAATTCCTCTCGAAATTTCGGTCAAGATTCATCCAAGAAACCTTAGATTTGGTTAAGAAACGAGGAAGATATGTGCTCCCAAAGTTTTCCGACAGTTATCCCTCCCGTCGCCGGCGTCTTGCTGCGTTCATGGCCGAAAAAAGCTCAAGGAAGAAGACGGTCTTTCTACCGTCCGATCGCTTCGAAGACTTTGACCATCCTCATCATCTTACGGCCCAAGATCATGCCACACGCGCAGCCACGTAAGCCTCATTAATTGAGATGGCGCGCCACATCAGCCCATGGAGCCCCGTGACCCCTGTTCGATCCTTGGCAGTTGCACTTTTGATTTATTCTCACTTTATTTTCATTTGCCTTCATATATTCATGTACTTATGTGTTCTTTTATTTTTCTGTTTTATATGCTGACTTCAAATAATCATAAAAAATAGGAAAATTAGTCTTTTTGATCCCCATTTTTTCTGCGTAATCTTCAAGATGTCTAGAATTTTATAGAATTGGAACCATATTTTTTTCCATTTTTCGTCATTTTATTAGATTTTTTTACATTTTAGTTGTCAAAAAAATAGCAATGCTGGTGCTATCATGTTATGAATTTTCTTTGACCTATCAAAACACAATTTAAATGTCAATCCTTTTGCAGGGATCTCATACACACGTTGAGGTATTATGATATTTTTTGTGGGAATTTTATTGTACCATTTTAATTGGTTTTGGATGCTTTCTTTGACATGCTCCATTTTAACTTTTCCTTTGGTATACATGAGATATCTTGCAATGTTTTCATCTTATTTGACCATTTCTCTTTGGATATTTTTATGATATCTCTCACCCATGGTTTGTGACTTGATGTAGGGCATTGGAGATTTTTATTTGAATTTTTTAGCACCATTTTCTATTTTTTCCATATTTTTGTATTCGGACTTGTAATTTGGACATTCGAACGGACTTCGGTTTTATTTTGGCTCCAACGACCTCGATTTGTTTGTGTGGTGAACGCTAGGGTTCCTATTGCTTATTATAGACATTATATAGGATGTGTAAATCATTAATTGGCTGGTTTTATCATACATAATTGCCCATTAGGTTCCATATTTCCATGATAACGCGTTATGATTCCAAATTGTGATATGCGTACGTCATTCGTAGGTTTTATTGCCTCACATCTCTTTGTAATCGCTTGTGGCCAAGATTGCATGTTTAAAATAGGCCATCCTCCATTCATTATGGGCTTGAGGTTGAGATGACTTCCTCCCTCACTTGCATTCCATGTTTACTGTTATGAATCCGCATTTCCTGTATGCTGTTTATTTCATCTGTTTTCTGTTGCTTCCTTTGCCTTTCCCTTAGGAGCTCCATTCTTTATTGTTGAAGATATAATGTGATAGAATTAAGCTTTGCAACCATGTATGACAACATTAGGGTAGTTTTCCCCTTTGCAAACTTCAACCTTAGGACGAACTTGGCATGATAACGTTAGGATTAAACTAGTCTCCCCGTAGTAAGCCGAACTAAGGCTGCTCTGATCTTTTATACCAGATGAAAGTACGTAGGCACGAGATGCGATATCTCGGCGAGCAACCTTCCCCATTTTTTTACCCGTAGTTAGGCGAACTACATTGACTCTGATTTCTCGTTCCATACGGGAATACGTAGGCATAGAACTGCTGTGTTCTGCCGAGTCACTTTTCTTTTCTTTTGTCCTTAAACCATTAGCATAGATACTAAACACACCCTTATTAGATAAACAACAAGCGTGGATCCCATCGAGTACGATGGACGTGAGGGGTGCTAATACCTTCCCCTTGCGTAACCGACTCCCGAATCCAGGATTTGGTTGCGATGACCATTCCTTTTCCTCTTTGCGTTAGGTTTTCTCTTAGCGTTTCCTTTCCCTTCTTTGGGATAAATAACGCACAGTGGCGACTCTTCTGTCATTGCCGGCCCCGATTTTCGCAGTAGCGACACTCCCCCTTTGACAAAATCAAAAAGAAGAAAAGTCATAAAACGTAAGTAGCATAAATTAAAATACACAACCATGTGTATACTACTCAGAGGTGTTACAAAGATAAACTTGATCAACAATAACAACACTCACAAAGAATGACGTTAAAGTAAAAACACAAGCCTAAATAACCAGCAATGCATTCAAAATCAAAAGTAGTTCATTACAAGCCTATTACAAGATAATCAAACAAGAACTGCAAGAAAATAAACATGAGCCAAACATGAAAAATTGAAATGAACATGAATGCGAAGTGATTTGAAGTCCATTGTCCACAAGAAAGATGACTTAGTTTCTATGGACACCCCTATGTCCACCCCTGGGTGATGGTTTCACACCTTTAGGTTCAGGTTGATATCTTCAAAACCAACCCCTCGTGGTCACCATACTAATAGTCTATAAAATCACACATCTCTGTAGAATTGCTGATAGTGATGGTGATTGCCATGTTGAGCACGACTTATGGTGCAGATGCCAACTTGAGTTTCAACATGGTTTGAAGCCATGTTGTGATGAATCTCATTAAATTGTTCCATAGCATAAGATGCAAAATTGTTAAAATTGTTCTCTAGGCAGTCAGATGATCATGAACTACTCTTAAACGCTCCTCTTGAGCGGCTTCAAACTCATCACGCCTACGAGAATCCTTTTCATGGCGCTCTAATTGCTCAACACGCATGTTCTCGAGCATGGTAAGAATAAATGATTCTTCACTAGATGAGCCAATGTCGAAAGGGTCACCGTAAGTAGTGCCATGTTGAGTCCACGAGTTTTATTGCCATTGACCCCACCCTTGCGGGGCTTCTTCTGGATGTTGAACTATCGAGTTACGAAGTTAAGCCTCATCTCCACCATAGTCTACATCTTGCATGTTTGCATCATCATGTTGATCATTGTTTCCAACTTGTTGCTCTTCAACATGTACCAAATTAAAATTGATAGAATCATCATAGTTATATATGCATCTTTGAGACCCCTTCATACAAAAGCAGTAAACATTTTGATCCTTATCTCACTTATACCCCATGTTTGCCATGGTAGTTCTATTTAACTATTGAGTTTGACCATGTGAAATGTTTAGAAGATTTTTCACGCCAATACGGAAGTGCATGAGAATCTTACTAATCATCGAAGGGTAACAAACGGAAGATCCTCTATTACACTCACGAACAACAAACATCCTAGAGGCAAAGTAACATGGCAAACAAATCAAAAAATTGTTTTCAAGAATATGCATCAAATGTACCTCTAATTGATCGATCCGAGAGTGACATTCTTTCCTCGGACGCAACACATGGGTCTTTTGTAATAGTGATGAAGTTGACTCGAAATACTTAGTAAATAAGGTGGTCTGCTCCTTCATCGAATTGAGTGAGATTGAAAACGAGTGAAGCTAGTAAGAATGATGTGATAGCTGGATGTGATGATTTTTAAGAAGTTGTACGAGTGAGTGGTTTGGAGGCTTCACATGATATTTGAATTTTTGTAGTGCATATATTGTTGAACTTCAGAGTGTGCTAGAAAGATTAAGATTAACAAAAGAGTTTGTGTTTCGAACTATTAAATTTCATATAAATTCTAAAGTGGTTGTTCAAAATATTTTGAATACATGACATAATAGTATAATTGGAATGGAATAGGTATAACAAATTAAACCGTCACTCAAATTGAATTTAAAGGTTTAAATTTGTCATATTTATCGTGAGTTAAATATTTATGCAAATGCACTTGTCGAGATAGGGTGTAATCTAAATCCTAATTTAATAATTTATGAACAAGTTCTTGTTCAAATATCTCTTCTTTTATTAACTAATTGTATTGAATATCTTCTTCTAAATTCTTTGTTATGCAATATTTTTTCTTTATACATCGGTCATCGTTTCTTCTTAAAAGGTCAATTTATGACTAATTTATAAAATTTATTATAAATCTCATTTCATTTTTAGTTAACAAACTATATATTTTAAAATTGAGTTTTTATTTTTTGAAAACAGATTGTATCTAGTTATTAAAATAATTAACTTGTCTCCAACTATTAATTATAAAAGATTAATTACATACACTGACAATATTAATTATAAGAGATTGTTTTTACACTATCATAACATTTATAAATCAAAACAAAACCAAAATAAATATATAATTACTATAAAAGTGTAAAAAAAATTATAATGACAATCCATCGACATTATCATTGTTTGCGTTACATTATAAATAGTTCTTTTTAAATCTAATATCTATAATTAATTAATAATATAAGATCTAACGAATATGATTAATTGAAATTTACGCATGTATTTCATTTAAATTTAAAAATGAATTTCAGTTGTGAAAAATTTAAATTGTCTTCACACTCTTGAGATAGTCATCGAATACAATCAGTTATATTATGCAACCGATAATACAATATTAGTGTACATGACGAACCAAAAAATACTTTGGAGATTGTTACCGCTCAATAAACGCACGTGGCGCCACACGTGATCCAGTGTTTCCTTCTACCTCAACTATTGCATTCTTTATTCATGCATTAATCATTTCTTCGCTGGCCTCACTCTCACAGCTCCAGACGGTGCTGTAACTGCCTCTTCATCCATTCTAGAGAGAGAAACTTTTTTTCATCTCTCTCATCGAAATGGTCGACGAAGAACCAATGCCTACTCGCTGGTCTTTCCAGGTTATTCTCCCGAGAAATTTTCCCTATACTCTTAAAATCTCAGATTCCCGATTTTTTTCAATTTTTTTTCAATTTTTTTCCTTCGATTCTGTGATTACATCTAAACTGTTCTAGTTAATGTTACTCTACTTTGAATTTTTCAGTATTTTCTTCAGCCAATTGAAGCTGTTGTTATTGTTGCTTCAACCGATTTTGGATTTCCGAATTTCTAGGAGAATTTACTTGTTGCTGTTTAATTTTTTTGGTTGAGTGATTTGTTTAGATGTGATTTTGAATCTTGATCTGGTGGATTAAATTGTTGATTTAGAGTTTTCTATTCTTTGTTTGGATCTCCAGGAGTTCAAAACGTATTATGATGTTAAGCTTGGCAGGAAGAAACCGGTGGAGAATGGCGAGACAGCGGATAAAGCGGTCAGTAATGGAAATTCTTCTGGTATAACATCTAATGGCAATTTTCATGTCAAAATAACACCAGATAAGGCTATTTATGAGCAGTTCCAAAGCCAGGTACTGTGTCTGATATATTGATTTTTTTGGTTATTTGGTTGTTACTCCTTCAAATTTCACTGATTTGTGTTATGTCATGCAAAATTTCTGTGTTTCAGGGGCAGAATCCAGTGCATACAAATGGTTTTGCACCAAACATTGTTAATGAAAAGCCGTATGGTTCTTTGATCCGTGACTTCTTATTATTGGGCACTGTAGTTGACACTTAGTTTCTGTTCTGCTTTGAGGATTAATTGAATCAATACAAGAAGGAAATAGTATTAGCATATTAATTGGGAATCGGGTTTATGATTGGGTGATTAAATAGGTAGTCTAACAACTATCTAGAAAACCATCATTTTATTGACCAACTATCCGTTTTAAGTTGGTTAATTAGGTAATTGACCAGTAGTGGTGCACTGTCAGTGAATTTAAGTTTGTAGTGTGCTTATAATGAAAACAACTCTTCCATGGGAGACTACGAAATCCTACGAGCCTAGCAGGGCTGTCCATGTGCTAATCTTTGTAGCATTAATTCTGATGTATCTGAAACTTATACCTATAAATTTTCAGATAAACGGATTCTATATGTAACTTGACTTCCTGACCAACTAAAATATTTTTTTATGTATTAAATGTGATAGTTTTAAAAAAAAGTGGCGGCAAAGTGGAGGGTATAGCCAAGTTATTTAATTGGAATCATGCCTTATGTCATGTATTTAATAAATAAGCAAATTTTAGTGAACCAAAATGCCCATGGTGTAACTTATACTAGTTAGACTAGTTTAGTGGAATTTTAAATGTCATTTATATCACAAACATGTAGATTATTATTCATAATTTATTTAGCAACTAGTTCAACTATGACTAAAATTCTCGTTGCTCAAAATTAGACAAGTGGGAATGTGCATAGTGATGGAATCCAAGAATATTTCTAGTTTCTTTCATTGCATTTTGAGTTTACCTAGTTTCATGCTTACTCTGTTTCTCTCAGGCTTTTGACCCACCTAACTGAAAGAAAAATACAATATAATATACACATGCATAGTTTAATGGCCACTACTAAACTTGATCCTTTGATCTTTACTCACATTTGTAGCAATTACTAGCATGATCATCTTACGAGTTCTCCGACTCTTGGTTACTATATTGAAAATTGAGAATTTATTTCCAACAAAAGGAAGAACCATAAATATTGTACACTTGTGCATCTTTAAGATGTGACACCTGAAATTGATCATTTGATCTTTGTCTCAATTGTAACCATCAATAGTATCACTTGTAAGTTTTTAAATTAGTACGGTACTATATGAAAGATAGAGTATTTCTTCATTCTCTGAAGTACTGATAATTATAATTATCCTTAACATTTACAGGCCTAAGTCTTTGCTTCCACCTTTGGAATCTGCGGAAATGCGTACTTTAGCAGAGAGCTTAAGTAGGTAAAATATCTCTTCTTTTAGTCTTGTACACACCCTTGAGTTGAGGCAACTGGCGACTGCAAGGATGATGTATGTTGGTCAAGGTTTTCTCATGTCTTTTTATTTTCATGTATGTATTTATTTATCATTTCACATAATACCATTGGCAGGGATATTATTCGTGGGAGTCCAAACGTGAAGTGGGAAAGCATCAAGGGGTTAGAGAATGCCAAACGTTTACTGAAAGAAGCTGTAGTGATGCCGATTAAATATCCCAAGTAGGTGTCACTAATGAAAACTTGCTATGCCTAATATCCCTTAGAGCTTTTGGTGCCCTTTTTGCCTAACTAATTGTCAATATGACAATATATTCTTGTATAAACAACATATGGGATCTTTTTATGGATGTTGTAGCTCTACAAATAAATAGACTTGTCTTTTTAAAGTTTTAAGATTGAAACATTGATAATAAGATCATTGAGATCAACTTTCTCACATTTTAGGTGAAGTGTATGATGGCTTACACATCACTTTAATTTTGAAAGAAGTATCTTATGTTTATTTTCTTTTACATGAACCAATATGTAGTATAGAACTTGCCAAGTAATAATTTTGCATTACATATTCCATGTGGTTATTGCATCTACAGAAATTCCAATATTTTAGGTCACATATATGCCTATCTTCCTTTACTATCTCAATTCCAAGGTGAATTATACACATTTTAATTTGTTAGCAGTTTTATAGTTTTCGCAGCATCAAAATTATAGTCTGAAGGAGTCCTTTGACAATATTATAGTGGCTTCTTATTTCAAACTCTATGTTAGATTGAAAAACTTGTCTGGTTGGTTGCAGCATTTTACAAAGGGATTGTAAGGCTTTCATGAGCAAATGCATTTTTTTGTCTTGGTAGCTCTGAAGGATTTCTTATTTTCCTTCTGTATACTTTTCTGTCCTAGTTTTTTTTCTTCATTTTAAATTACTTGATTCATAGAGGATAAAATCTGGCTGACCCTTGTTTTAAATTCTGCTTACGGCTTCTGGACTTGTTATTTTGATCACATCAGTCATTTAGTTTATTGTTTTAGAAATTTGTTGCAATCTTGATTTGAAGCACCTAATAATGCCAAAAGCAGCTTTGTTAAAATTTAGAGATGCTTAATATTGTCATGAAGTGGTTGACTGGTTGATTTTCTCCACTTGAATATGTGCAAATAAAAATTTACTTGCGATGTAAGAATGATATTTGTCCTCATATCGAAACCGATCTTTCTCATTTATCTAGGTACTTTACTGGTCTGTTATCACCATGGAAGGGCATTCTTCTTTTTGGGCCCCCAGGGACAGGAAAGGTTTGTATTGATCTTTCCCTTAGAAATATATATGCGTTGCTCTCTCAGTTAATGCTAAAATATTAATGTTATTTTTATTTTTGTGAATAAATTTTCACATATGAAAAAATAAACTATGTTTGAAGGAATGTATATCTTATCAATGTTCATATTTTGATGATTGTGAATATTACAGCTTAATTTTGAATTTTTATTTCAAATAAATGAATAACTGTAGACTTTTTTGTTCAAATGTTGCAGACAATGCTTGCTAAGGCAGTTGCAACAGAGTGCAATACTACATTTTTTAATATTTCAGCATCGTCTGTTGTCAGCAAATGGCGAGGTATGTGATTAACAACCTTTCACTCCTCTTTTCTTGAGCACTTCTGTTTGCATAAATCTTAAAATCTTGGTATTAAACTTTGAAAATGTTCAGTGTTTCCAGAAAGTGACTTAAATCCCTTGCCATCAGAATAAAAAATACAAGATAATTGTAGTATAATATATATTTTTAAAAGAAAATAAAATAAACTATTTTTAGATGATGATAAGACTAAATATTGTTCTTAAAATACTTTGATGTTAACAACTACCATAAATTTTGCAAATTGATCAATTTGGAAAATTCATTTGTTCAATGTTCTTTTCCTCTGTTTTATTTGACCAAATAGATACAAACAGGTTTACATATCATAGATCATATCAGAACACTGGTTATTGTCAGTGAGAAGAACTTGTAGCAGCCACTTGATATATAGCATAGATGACTTGAATTAAAACATTTGGTTGCACAAGCTTCTAGATGTTGTTTTGCTGGACCTTTTGTTGTGTTCTGCTTCTCTATCACGTCGTGTTGTAGACCAGTGAAATGGAATAAAAAATGCAGAATTTCCTTAATTTTATACGACACTATTTTAACATTTATTAACCTTCACTAATTAATCTTTTGGAATGATATAAGTTATGCGATTTTATTCTTCAAATCCAATAAATTTGGTGCATGTGATTTAGATGATGTGTATTGAGGTAAAGAAGAAAAGAGCATAGAAGAGATATAACTCTGATCAGTATGAATGTGATTCACCTTGATTTGCATTTGAAAAGTACAACGGGTTTAAAGGAAAGATAAAAGGTGCACAATAAGGCAGCTAAATCCTATTACACTGAATCTAATTATTTGATCAGTTAGAGTTGGAGGGAAATCATGTAACTGAAAGCCGACTTGGCAATCCTCTAGACTAAATGTCTGTTTCTTCTTTCTAGCCATTAGATCATCTATTTTATCAACAGCTTCAGCACTCAATTCATCGTTCAACAATGAGAGCTCCTAATTCAATACTAAACTTTCAAAAACTTTGAATTGGAATTTAATTATATTGTCCTTTTTGCATCTCCAAAACTTTGTTCTCATGAAGTACGAATTTAATCTTTGAAGTGAAATCATTTGCAGTTGAAGTTTCAGTGTCTAATTCTCCTTCACCCCAAAATATGCTTTCTATCAAGTGTTGAAAACTCATTGCAAAATCTGTGGTTTATTTGCTTCATTTAATTGCTAGCTTATCTACCGCCATTTCTTTTGCTCCTCGTTTCTCTTTATTATAGTTTGCAATTTTGCGAACACGTACATATACAAAGCTTTTTTTATTGCAGGTGATTCGGAGAAGTTAGTTAAGGTGTTATTTGAGCTTGCAAGGCATCATGCGCCCGCAACAATATTTCTTGATGAAATTGATGCAATCATTAGTCAGCGTGGTGAGGCACGCAGTGAACATGAAGCAAGTAGACGGTTAAAAACTGAATTACTCATTCAGGTGATGCTTGTTTCTGACATATCATTGAGTTACATGTTGGGTTATAATACTATCATTAATCAGTTTAAAGTTTTTATTATATTAAACTTCTATTGTTAGCTCCACCACCACCAACACATATTTGGAACTCTGTTGATTTATTTCTTAGTCTTAACTGACTTCATTGAGCTTATGCTAAATTTGAAAGTGTTTTTTGGCGCTGGGGGTGGGTATAACGGTGAGGAGGAGAGGATTGAACCTATGACCTCATGCTACGTTAGATTCATTTTACATGTGATGAGACAAATACCCCCACTGAGTATGATGATGAAATTTTATCGAACATACATATAATTGATCGTAAACTTTCCCCATAAATCAGCAGCTATGACTGAGACTTTGAACAATACTCCCTCCGTCCCACAATGAGTGACCCATTTGGAATAAAAGAGTCTCAAAATGAATGACCCATTTCAATTTACGGTGCATCTTTTCCAATTGTACTCTCTAATTAATATTACTTTCATCATTTCCATTACATAATAAGGGTACTTTAGTAAAAATATCATTCTCTCTCCTTCATTTATTCTTTTTTCTTAATCTGCGTGAAAAGTCAACTGAATCACTCATTGTGGGACGGATGGAGTATTGTCTCTTGAAAAGAAAACAATTGAAGAAACCCACTACTAGTCTAAATGTAATAGCACACACATCTTAACTAGGCAGTAATGATAATCGTTGGAATAGTAAGAATTTCAGCACACTATTTTTCATTTTCTTCCCGTTTTACTTTACACACAATCTTGCATTTCTTCTAGTTCCCTTATGGTATGACGGAAGGTCTTTAAGTTCTCATACCTAATTTGAACAGTAAACAAAGATTAAAGAGAGTCTCAAAAATATCCAAATAAATTGTTAAAATTGTGTTTGATGTATGTTGACGTGATTTATTAGTTAGTTTCCATGGTGATTGGCATTTGGACCGGTGAAAGATATTTCTATTGACTTCAGTTTGTGCCTTCTGCAAATTCAGTCTCAAAATAAATGTGAATTATTAATATACAACAGAGCTGTGGTTATGTTCTGCCATGCTTTTTCCAAAATTAATCATTTAGGTTAGATTGCAGATGGATGGTTTAACACGGACGGATGAACTTGTTTTTGTTTTGGCGGCAACTAATCTTCCCTGGGAATTGGATGCAGCCATGCTTAGACGTCTTGAGAAGCGAGTATCCTTCCAATATAAGTTTATTCTTACTGCTTAATGTTCAAGATAACTGAATTTGGTCTAACTGTTCTAGTCTTTTAAATGACATTTTACTGATCTTGGGAAGAAACATGAATTATCTGTTAGAGATCTTATTTTGGGAGCACTGAGTAAATTATTAAGCATTTCCCATCACCTCATTATTTATGCTTTCTTGAGTAGTGTAATTATAGTGCTTTATTCTTTACAAATGAACTTGGTGTTCTTTCTAGTTTGCTTGGTTTTTAAGTTGTCGAAATATCAGTAATTGTTGTTTTAGGGTTAAGATTCATTTGTATTTGAAGTAGGTCCCCTCACAGATGCGCATAAACATGGTATGCATGAAGCTCATTTCACACTTATTTATTAATATATTTATTCAAGATATTCGAGACCTGCCAGAATTTAGTATCTTTTAGACCCATTTTGTGAGATAAAAATTTCGCCACTTTATTTTCACCCCCTTTGATCAGCAAATTGATGTTCAGTCTTTTGCTGCAACATAGAGGATAGATCATAGTTCTGTACTTATTTAGATGATATGTTCAATAAGCAATCTGTTGTTGCAATTGAATGCTGTGTTAATTCGGTTGTCCTTTGACCATAAATGAAAGATCCTTGTACCACTTCCAGAACCAGAAGCAAGAAGATCAATGTTTGAGGAACTCCTTCCTCGGCAGCCTGATGAGGAACTGATCCCCTATGATTTACTCGTGGACCGGACAGAAGGTTATTCAGGCTCGGATATCCGCCTACTTTGTAAAGAAACAGCAATGCAGCCATTGAGACGCCTAATGTCACAACTTGAACAGGAACAAGATGTGGTGCCTGAAGAAGGTATGTTGCTTACAAAATCTAGCCTCAATATTTATCCATGACGTGTGCCTGCATGCACAGGAACACTTATATCTGTTCCTTTTAAGTTGATTTTTCAAATAGGAGCATCTCATTAAATTTGAATAATGTTTTCTATTGTCATATAGTTAATTTTACTCCTTGTGAATTATAAGTAATTATCATGGTCACAGAGTTGCCAAAAGTTGGGCCAGTCAGGCCTGAAGATGTCGAGATAGCTTTAAGGAACACACGGCCGTCTGCTCATCTCCTTGCCCACAAATACGACAAGTTTAATGCTGATTATGGTAGTCAAATACTTCAATGAAATGATATAGTTGTTACTGTCACGTGGTCTATGATTTGGTTGCCATAAAATCGCTGCTGCACAACTAGGAAACATAAAACATTATGTTGGGTAGAGTGATGTTTGTTTACAGATATTCTTTGATATGTTTTTCACACTCTTCTATATGAGCGACCATATCCCTTGAACGTTTTTCAAATGGTTGAGATAGTTTACATTCCTTATTATGTTGTTTAGTTTGTGCTTCTGCAGCAGAACAATAATATTATAACCTTTATGCAACATTATATTTGATTTTATTCATTGTTCTTTGTAGTACCAAGTTCTTTTACAAAGTTAAGTAACAAATGCCACTGGTTCTTTTTCTCTTCAAAGTCACATATTACTATGATATGATATTTATTTTTTTGGCATATTCCCACTAGTTTAGTTTTTGCACTATCCTGTAATTTTCTATTCAAGGTGAGATAATATCAATGCACTCTTGAATTTTTTTATTCAAAGTTCTCTTGTCAAGTTCTTAAAAAGGAATGCAGGCGAGAATCACAATCAACAAGCAAGAATTTCAAACACAATGCAACAAATTCACAAATGCTTTCAATAGGAGAGTTCAAATAGATAGTACAAGACAAGATAAAGAGATTTTTCAAAGACAAATAAGAGAGTTAAAAACAAGAGAGTTAAGTATAGGAAGACTCAATCAAAAGGATTATAAATGAAACAAATTAAATGCTGAGAATGACTAAGTGATTCAAATTGTGAATCACACAAATATGATGAAAGAGATGTACTAATATCAACCTTGCAATGTATTATAGAGACAAACAAAACTGATGTATCAAAATGAATAATTCTAAAAATTTAAATCTTTTTTTAAATGACTTTTTCTATAAGTGCTTTTGTGCAGAATTACTTTTTTGGAACTTTTTTTTCGGTTTTTTTTATTTTATTTGAAACTCTCCTATTTAAATGACTTTCAGTTTTTTTTATATTTGGAACTTTTTTTATAAGTGTTTCTTTGGAACTTAAATGAGACCTAAATAACAACATCTTATAGGCCCATATTGGGTTACAAACATTTTTTTTAAAAAAATTAATGCAAAGAAACAAAGACTAACTAATTCTAAATTAAAATTATTAAAATTTTATATTAAAACTAAATAAATTATTACAAAATTGATCGACAAATATGCAAAACGGCCAAAAGAGAAGGTAAATAATCGAATCAAATTTAAGTTGGGTGGTTGAAATAGAGGGAGAGTTTCAGAAATTTTATGACAGAAAAGTATTGATAGTTGAAGGAAAATTTCTATCAAACGACGATAAGACCTACAATGTTATATGAGATCAAATATTAGACGTTTAAGAATCAACACGAGAATAAAGTATGTACAGTTGAGATAAAGATGTTTGATCTGACCTGATCAGAAGGGGATCGCGGGCTGGCCACACTCTGTTGGACTGCTACTTGTTCACTGATGAGGAGGAGAATGGGTGTGTACCTGCAAGACACTCCGATGCCAAAGTAAGGAATTGGGCAGAGTGAGAGCAAAGTACAGAAATGGGGTAAGAAGTGAATTACCTGACTCTCTTGGGGAAGAGGGTATTTATAGAAAGACCCCAGCGCTGGGCCAACGGTCACTTGTGTTGGCCGGATTGCCAGGCCCAACCCAGGTGATTGCTAGGGCTTACGTGGCGTAGTGAAGACCAGAACGTGGTCTTCGCCCTAGTTCAACTGTCTCGTGATCTCCGGAAAGAGGGTTTGACCTGCTCTTTCGGAGGTGGGCAGTTGGTTAGTGACGTGTCCCCGCGGAGGGGAGCACGTGGAGAACGTGCACAGGGCACGTTGTTCTCCCTGCGAAGGGGAGCTCGCGAGGTTTCCCGAAGGCACGTTGTTCTCCCCGAGGAGGGGAGCACACGTGGACGTGGGAGAGCCATGGGGTCTTGCTCGGTGGCATGGGGAATACCGCCCGCGGAGGGCGGTGCTTGGTCTTGCGGGCGATTCGCTCGTCCGGTGTGGTTGGGACGGTTCTTCCTCGCAGAGAGATCTTTCTAACGTGTCGGGGATCTTGTGCCCGACGCGGTACCCGAACTGGATAGGGCCTGGTGGAACGTTATTAGACTGGGTCAGTATAGTTCAGCCCGGGGCCCAGGCCAGAACAATATTGATGTTGCATTTGATGTATGGTAAGACTAAAAATAATAAGATTATAAATGAGAAGATTATAAAAAAATGTTGGATGATACCTATAGTAGAAAAGATGATTGAAAATAAAATTCAATAGTTTGGATAATGTAAAGAGAAAATTAAATGGATAAGAGTCAAATAGCTAACCCTAGATGAAAATCTAAAAAATCTTTTAAAAAACAGTAAGAGAAGTTATTTTAAAAAATCTCGATATTAACAATTTTAAAAAAAAACATAATCCTAAATAAAATATTATTATAAAAGTTGATCCATATAGCTACATCATTTAGTAAAATAAGGTTTTGTTGTTGTTGGTTTTTTCTACATGCTCGTGATTTTTCTCCATGCTCATGATTGGTCGTCGTCGAGCTTTGTTTGAAGGATTGGAAAAAAGAAAAACAAAGTTTTGAAATGAAAAAATTGAAGTGAAAATAGTTTAAGTATTTGATAGGAAAAGGTTTGAAAAGCTTTTTTTTCATAACACAACGATCTCTGAATTTGAGATTAAAAAAATTACATTATAGGAGAGTTTTTTAAGGTTTTGGAAGGGTTCATATAAACTATCTAATCTACTCTCAATTGACAAACTATGAATCTCTTTAACTATAATGACCAAAAGATTTTGCAAAACAATGGAGATGTGTCATTTGAAGGAAGAATCGGAGATTCAAGTCCCAGAAAAGATGGTGGCTTCAACACGGAGTATGAGTGTCCGAGAATGAACAAATAGTACTAAATTAAATGAAGAGACCAGCCTCAGTTACAAGGAACTGAACTTTTCAAACCAAGAAAATAATCCAAGGCTATATAAACCTAGTGCCTCTGCACCTAATAAAACAAGTCATTCCCACAATTTTTCAGAATTTTCTTCAGTTATATTAATAAGACAATCATACCTCATACACCATACTGAAATACACCTACAGCGGTGTAGAAAGGAGAGTAACAGCACAAATACAGATGGAAAAGCACTTGAGTACTTGGAGTCCCAAACACCGCCTATATTTCACACTAAACTGATTTCAGTTACATTAAGGGGCCTTCGCTGACTGTTCTGGCATATCATCTTCATCATGGTAAATGTTCTCTGCCATCTGCCATATTTGAAGTATATTGTCTTCTGCCACACTAGCAACAACCCAATCTTCACATGGGTTCCAAGAGAAGTCAGATATCTTGCTCGTATGACCACCGTGAATAAAGAGCAATTCTGGTGGACCATCTTCGGCGTCTTCTGCTGACTGTTCTTCATCAATCCTACATAAATGAGTGAACCAAGTTGTTATGGCAAATAGTTCTGACATATATGATTTATTAATATATGAACCAAATATTGGTATTTTTTTAATAATCATCTTAATCAGAAAATCAACCCTCAATAGCCATTTCAAATTCTTTATTCCATCAGTCTCATGTTTACAGAACCCAATATAACTCGAGAAAGACAGAAATTGATGGACGTTTAAGTTCGAAAAAAAAAATTGGAGCTTTAATTCATACAATAGCTTCGAAAGCTTAACTGAAATGTAAAAGAAAATTTTAATAATGAGAAAGCTCCCGCCCCATAAAAAAAGGATACTACTGGAGTTCCCCAGTTAAATAGCAAACACTAAAATTTCAGGGGAAGGACCAGCAACGGGGTTTATAATTTATAAACATCTCTAATGAATCACCAGCATATACCAAAACTCAGAAACACATTTCAGGGAAACAAATAAAATTTAGCTAAAAAGTTTAGATATGATTATGCTTTCACTAAGCAATACCTGCTGAGATCCCACACCATGAGTCTTCTACCAAGACAACAAGAAGCCAAGATAGTCTCATTCTTTGGATTCCAGCCGACCTGGAAAACCTCTTCCCTGTTAACCCAACAACACCAATCCAGATCAGTAACTAATAAATATAATTACAACTAGAGTAATAAATTTAGAAACATCTAAGGAGAATACTACTTATGACTATCAAAGGTGTGAAGAGGATTGTTGATCTTGCGCAGATCCCACAATTTCACTGTTTTATCAGTAGAACCAGTAGCAACCACCCATTCATTGAAGGGATTGAACGCCAGACAGTTAACCTAATAAGATCCAATGTATATATAGAAGAAAAGTGTTATTTTAAGTGATATTGGGAAGGAGTATCAGCATTCTGAAAACTACGGAACACTGCCAAAAGATAAAGGCAACCTAAAGCACAATAGATTAGAGAACACATTATAAGGAGTTGACTGATTGAAAATTAGACTAACAGTGGATATCCTATCAGCCAGGAAATTTTGAAAAGCTATATATGTCAAATATTGCCACTGTAGAGCTGCAGAGTGGAGTCATGGCCAGTTCTTAAATATTGGCCATGGTTACTGAATTTTCTATTGTTACCCATCCCTAATTAAGTCTTTAAACACAAAAACAATGTTATCAACAGCAAATTGCAGAAAATAGTAGAAAACCAAAAATCTGATATGTGAAATAGCAAATAGCAAAAGGTACTCAGCGGTTGCAATAAGTTAAATATATATAAAAAAAAGCCCCACTTCATGCAAATAAAAAAGGGAATGGAGGTAGAGCACAACTAATACATTGAAAGGTTTACATGTTATGCAAGTATGTGAGTAATACTCACTGACTCTTCAGGTTTTCTACCGAGAAAATAGGTAGTTTTTCACACATATGAGAAATACTCGCTGACTCTTAAGATTTTCTATTGAGAAAATAGGTAATGTAGGTCATGTTTCATACACATGCAGATTTGTCAGTTTTATTCTTTAAAAAACAACCTAAAATTCACTTTTATACTACTATTGCTGCTATATCAGCATGCAGAAGCTGGA